CTAAATCTACAGTAGATTTAGTCGACTAAAATCTTATGCTTTTTAGTCGACTAAAACTAGACTAAAACTAAAACAAAACAGATGACTAAAATATGACTAAAACTAAAATTGCATTTTAGTCAAAAGACTATGACTAAAACTAAATTGAAATCTGCTGTCAAAATTAACACTGACACACATCAGCTTACTAGATCATTGTTATCATGTATTACGTGTCAGACATAGCATATGCACACAATTTAGCCAGATGCAACTGTTCAAATGCGTCAACACCCAGGAGTCATCTTTGAGGGACGTCTCAGGGAGGGAAGGCTTCTGGTGTCTTAATGGTATGACCAGATGCATCAGCAGTCTACACCCCCGAGAATAGGCACCCAAATGCAATTTCAAACAAGAAAAAAGCCTGCATTTGAACCTGTGTGCAGAGGAGTCTAAATAGCACAGCAAAATGCAAGTTAGTTTCTGTGGAGTAATGATCCGCCTAAAATGGGTAATTACAAACTGCAAGGGGACAAGATGAACACTGAAAATCTAAACATTTAATGGCATCACTAATGGACTGAAAGCTCAGGCATTAATGCCACAGACAAGGGGGGGAAAAAAAAAAACCCAGCTCTGAAGCGGTCATGTTGTAAGCACTCACACACTTACTTCACACATTTGATCAGTCTGACATTTTATTTCAATCTTTTTCCCTCCAAACAAAGAATATTGGTTCATACGTAATTACTTATTTACAACTGGTCTTGGCATATTGATGAGGAAAGTTTAAAATCACGTATTACACGAGGACAAAACGCATTCCACACATAAATTACTTGCTCAGTCAGACCCTGAGCAGCAGCGTCTTTGACAACCACCCAGAACACGTCGCTTGTTCGGCACGGCCTATCAAAACTTAACTTGCTGCGAAGACAGATGATTAAACAACTTCGGCGGCCTCGTCCTTCAGGCTCAGTAGCAAGTCAACTCGATCCACGAGACGTTCATGGCGGTCCTGTCTATCCCGCAAAAACAACTGTCACGTTCATGTTGGCCAATGAAGGGCAAATGCAAGTAATCAGCTGCCTGACAGATTTACAAGTGTCAGCAAATGCCTCCTACTCAACATTTACCTTCAAGCAGTTAAGAAGCAGGTACGAGGACCTTCACAACCTTGCAGAATCAAAATTTAGAAAAGGAATGCTTAATTTAAGGTTTCATTCAGATTTTTATTCAGGTCTTAAGTCAAGCTGTAACTAACAACGGATCAACCCAAAAAAAAAAATAATAGATGAACCCAGTAACTAAAATCGTTCTTCGAGGAGGACAGAATTTCTCTGATAACCGATTGCCAGAATAAGGATTTGAAAGAAGCTGGCTGGGGGGGTTAAAAAAAAGAGGCTAGATCCATATGCGCTTGATCCGGTTGTGCCCTGTGACGTCACTGGAGCCAAAGGAAGCGGAGGTCCTGAATAGGCCAGCGTGAAACCCCTTTCCTCTCGAGCTTTCGCGTAGTCCGGTGGAAGTTGCCATGTCCGAGGGTTCCGTCCTACTCGTCCAGGTCCAGCGTGTGGAGCTCCTCCTCCAGCTCATCCAAGTCCTCCCCCGTAAACAGGTTCTCATCCACGGGCACAGCGTCATCCTCAGCCTCGCTGCTCGCAGCATCCTCGGCATGTTCGCCGTTCTCTTCGGCCCCACCTGAGGCCTCACTCAGTTTGGCATCTGGAGGAAGGGGCGGTACGTGTCAGTATGATCTGGGAATCGGGAACAGGTCTTGCATCACTCCCCAGTTTTAAACACTCACCATCAGCTTCCTTGGCCACCTGGGATTTGGATGAAAACCTGTCTGCAGAGGCCACCGTGATTCCGTCACTGTCCACTTCTCTGGGAACAAACCGGGCCAGATCGATGTCCTGACATTGCTCTGCATCTTCAGGCTGCAAGAGAAAACATTTTCTTTTTTTGCAGGATTCCATTTGTGTACAGGAAACTTTGCACCTTACCTGTCTCACACTAAATGTATGTCCGTCTGTGCTCTGCCTACTTGCTGCTGTACGCACAAGAATTTCCCTCTGGGATCAATAAAGTCAATCTAATCCAATTTAAAGGATGCTGCACGCCAAATAAAATCAGGGCCATTAATCTCAATTCCATGTTGATATGAACTACAAAAATAATACACTTTAGTTGTATGTATTTTCCCCCTTGAGCATTAATAAGGAATATTACTGTTACACTAACAAAATTACTGTCCAACCACACATCTTGACAGGACAATCCAAACGTTGAATCAGACTTGTACTGATACGTAAACCTTGTGTACATACCTCGGGTCGCTAGTGACCCAGAACTCATCTATACAGCTCTGCTGGGGTTGTATGATTCAATGTGGAGGCTGTTTCCATGGTATATCACACACTTTTCATCAGCAACATTTTACTACCAAATTTATGGCAAAAGAGTTTAAAATTGTTTTAGCATTATTTATTTGCAAAATGAAAGTACCAGGTCACTAGTGACCCAAACACAATAAAAGTGTACTGCGTTTGTAAACAACGAGAAATGAGCATGGATTTTGATATCCGGACCCTGGTGGTTCAAATACCAGTGTCAGTATATTTTGAGAAGTGGGTGCTTCACTATACATGTAAATAAACAAAAAGGCACATTATGCCAACCAGACCTAATGAAACATTAAATTTTTATTTGTACATTATTTCAATCGAAAAATTATTTGAAATTGATGTATGGTTTTACGTTTTATTAATATTAACATTTTCAAATGACTTTTTCCTTAAAAAAAGTTGAATGTGAAAAGAGCAACTTCCGGCTTGCTGGATGGCCAGCTTGAAAAGGAGATATTTTGAAACAATGTAAAAAGTTCAATTTGTTTAGAAACTTCTTAACGTACGTAAGTGTTTCCTGACAGTCCTATGTACACAAGCGGTAACGAGGCACTGAAACAGGGCCAGGCTACCCAGTGTCTCCAAGACGACATGACCAAACACCGAGCTCCACGCCGTTTGAGACAAACGGCACCCGATGACGAGGCATACCTCCTGATCCGTGTCGTCGTCGTCATCATCAGTGTCGTCGTCGTCGTCCTTCTCATACCCTGTGTCGTCAGCCTCCTCGTCATCATCATTCACCAGCTCAGGCCGGAACTCAAACACCTCTCGGCCGCTGACCTACAAGACACAGTGCAGGTTACAGCCAAAGGCAGCTGGCAGCGCAACGGAAACATGCGACTTGTATGAAAATGGGCTGCATGGCATGGAAATTGTCAGAAATGCAGTTATGCCGCTGTGCATTAAACGCTGTTCACATTCTCTGGCCATGGGTAACGCCATGGGTAACATTACACTATACAGTTTTGCTGCCACCATCTGGCCAGAAGAGGGAGCACAACTTACAATCACAGAACAATAATATCACCTCTTTGCTACACGTATGAAAATGCCTTCCACAGCTGTCACTGTAAAGCCAGAAGCTTTTTAGTTTAAAGATGCTTAAAAGTGAACTTTTAATGATGCAAGATGCACAACAGTGCTTCTGAGCTTGTTTGGATTTAGAATTCACCATCAAAAGCTTCACTCACCCCCAACGACCTGCCGGCTTTGAAATCGGCCTTCTTCCTCTCCATGTCCTGCTCCGCCTTCATGATTTTCTCTTGCCTTTTTCTCTTTTTCCAAGCCAGGAACGTTTCCAGCGTGATGCGGGTCACGTTCACGCCTAGGGCAGCTCGCTGAGGACATTAGAAGGGCTCATCAAATTCAGAAGATCGCAACGCGATTTAGGCCACAGGTTTCAGGCAAACCCGAAGACTCTGCCATTAACAGATTGAGCGAAATACGTACTATGACTTGTGGTTAACCACATTAAAATTCCAGTCTTGAATAAGTAATCTGCAGTACAGTAATACACAAGGAGCAGCATAAACCATCTCATTAGCAGAAGACAGCTTCAGAGGAACATCACTGACTACACCTCCTACGTTATATGGGAGCACATCCACCCACATTATAAAGCTGCACTTGGAGAACTGAAACCTAAGAACCTTAATAGGCAGAAACACCTGAGCACAAGCATCCAACAGTCAAAGATATAGGCTGTCCCATTTCCCAAGATGTCCATGCTATAGAGCAGGGTTCAACTCTGGACCTCGATTCCAAATCCAGGCCGTGTTTTCAGTTCTCCCAGGTAGTTGTTTAATAATTACTGATTCTGATTGGTCAGAGGCTTCACACCTGACTGACAGGTAAAGGAAGGCTGGAAAACCAGCAGTGCTCGGATCTTGAGTTGAATAACCCTGCTATAGAGAGATGCACCATCCTTATAAAAACAGACTCTACCTCAGTCTCTATCAGTTCCTCCAAAGAAATCTTCTCCTCTTCTGCCTCCTCCTTCTTCTTGTCCTTCTTGAGCACAAAACCAGGTGGCAGGGCATGGCGGTACATACAACTGTCCCCTCCACCCGGGCAGACCCAGAACCAGCCATATTTGCTGTTCTCAATGGCCTCGAGGAAGTACTTGCAGACCTACAGGGAGACGGAAAGAGACCATCCGAATCCTGGCCTCAGGTGACATGCTCCACCTAAACCGCGTGGATGAAGCGCCCGGTGAGAGCCGCTTACGATCTGAGTCTTCGCTTTCTTCTTCTCGGCTTCTCCGTGCTTCTTGTTCACCACCTCCTCCAGCTTCTTCTCGTCCCAGGTGTCCATGCTATCTGTTATGCGGGTTTCACAAAGTCCATGCTACTGCACCACCTACATGACAACTCGATGCCAAAGCACGCCTTTCGGAATGTCAAAGGCCAAGCAAGAAAGTGACGAGTACCCTTTTCAAGCTCTTCATCCCTGCCATCGATGTAGACGCTGCGTTTCTCGCACTTCCTCTCCAGCGTCAGGTCGTGGGAGAATTTGCACTTGTCTCCTTTGGTGCATTGGCCCTGCTTAAAGAAGGCACACAGGACCGATTTTGGGTCCACACCTAGAAAGAGAGGGGGGGGGGGTTAAGCTTTCTGGACAGGTTTGTTTTGCTGGAGAGAGGCAAGGCTGAATGATATATCATTTCAGCATCGTCATCACAATGTACACATATGCAATAATCACATATGCAATAATCACATTCCATGACAACACTGCTTTGCGTCTTGACAATCTGTGGCAACATCTTATTTAACTGATAACATCTTATTTAATTGATAAAATCAGTTCTTTTTGGCAATAGCTCTTTTCGGGTAATTTAACCTACATTTCTGTTTTATAAATATTGCGATATTATTATTTGTGGAAATTCCACATATCACAACGTGATATCATGGAGCCCGAGAGAGGGGTAACACAAAACCGTTCCAATCAAATATAAATCACTGCCAATTACAAATAACACTTTTCTGGGCCAAACAGATCATCTACTTCAATTTTAGCTTCTGTGCCAGTGCGTTAACTAAACATTTAAACCCAAAGACAGACCTTAATTGTACCCTTTTGTGGAGATACAAGGCCACGACTTCCAGGACAGGGACAGAGTCACAAGTTTTGGGAAACCTGACACCACATAGAAAGACTGCAGTGGTGACAGACCACAATATTCCAACATTACATCATCATCTGTCCAGGCACAGTCCAAAACGGTCAGGTTATATCTCATACAAGTAACAGGATTATTTCATTAAAATTTACCCTAAAATATTTATAAAATCCCCCACCAATGAATCACTTACAGTACATCATGTAATGTATATTAAGAACAGAACAGACGTAAACACTAAAGGTTAGCTCAATGTCTTTTCCTTCCTCACTTTATCCAGTCTACATACTATTCGCATTTTTCGTTCAGGGGCGTTTTTTTAGGGGGTTTTAATTGATAAAAAGTCTGCCAATTAGAGACACTCCCCGGTTATGATGGTCCGTGTTATGTTATTTCAGCTTTACGACGGGTGTGAATATTCAATGAATTACATAACATAGTCAACCCTTTATTATAAAATAGGTTTTGTGTCAATGATTTTGCCTGTAGGCTAAAATAAGTGTTCCAATCATGTTTAAGGTAGGCAATTAGGTGTACTGCATTAAAAAGCATTTTCACCTTACGGTAGGTTTATGGGAACGTAACCCCATTGCAAACTGGGGAGTGTCTATACTAAAATCCTGCTCCCATATATACATGCGATCGGAGGAGAAGCAGGAGGAAGCAGAGAAATGGTTCTAATTAGAGACACTGAGGTTCCCAGTCTACCTCTCACAGCACAAACGCAGCTCCCAAATAATATTCCAGATATGACGGTGAACAAATGATATGAGTGTATCCAAGAGGACACGGCTCTGGATACCTTTGCTGACTTTCTGTGCTGCCACCACAGGCTTGAAGAGCTCATTCAGCTCAGACATCTCCTTCTTTTTGTCAGTCTTCTTGTTCTTCTCACTTTCGATGGCGGCGATCTGAAGTAATGTCATTCAAGGTGTTAATGACTACAGGAATCAGGGAATATCTCGACGCACGTGCAACATGCTCCTTTTTATTGGAAAGCACAGTGTACATCTATTGCGGACAAATACAATACGATGAAGATAAAGAGCTAATGCTGTTTCCTGGGATGAGAATTAGGAGATGTGGAACTATGCGTGACAGGCAAGCACTGCCAGTACCTGTCGTGCATTTTGCTGTCCATATTTAACTTGCTGTGTAACGGTCTTGATGAACTTCTGCTGCTTCGCCCCCTTCTTGTTTTTCAATCCGAATGTCTTGTCCTTAAAGGGGGGGGGGATGTTCAAATCATTGAAACACCATGAATATAAATAACAATACATACAAGTTGCGGTCTAAAAAACATTTTGGAAAGGCAATAAGGAAGTCTAATAAGAGTTGAAAACAACCTGCATTTGATTTATTATTATTATATGTTTGTTAGCATTTATGTCAACGGATTAGGTAGGACGATAGTCGCTGAGCCAAAATAGATTAGAGACTGAGCCGGTAACGGGAGCCTTTCGGGACAACGCAGACGGAGAGGGAACAGCCGGGGGCTGGGGAGTATACTGGGGTTGTCAGCAGCCCCGCGGCTCGGCCGGTCATCACGGCCCGACAGGCTGCCGGCCCCGCTGCCGCGGCACGTAGGACCGGGAAACGCGGCAGACAAGCTGCCCTCTGCCACATGCCCAATTACTGCGTTTTTAATGGATTGTATTTCAATTAAATACGACCATGAGGCTGGCGTTCGTTGGGCACTGAAACGCGTTTGTCTCCCAAACGTTAACGAGGCCCGTCCATAGGATGACCGCAGCCGGGACGGAGCGGCGTTGGCTAGGCCGCGGGCGCAGCATGGCCACACTCCGGTCCCGGTGCTCCATACAGCCACGGTGCCTCACCTCAATAATCTTCTCCTTTTTCTTCTCCTGGGTCTTCTTGCTGCCGGTCGAAGCTTGCGCTGGCTTCTTCGGAGGCATGACGGCGGAGATGCGCTACAGCACACGGCTCCGGTTTGCGTCGCGGTCGGCAAGCGTGAGAAAGCGCCGCCTGGGTAGAGAGCAGCGTCGCTCAGGCCGCGGCTCCGGCTGCGCTCTGCGTCGGCGCGATGCCTTCTGGGTAATACAGCCGCCCCGTGCGTGGGCCCGTCTCACAGCGCCGCTTTCAGAGAGCGCGCTAAGTGCCGTCGTTTTATTAAATAATCATATTCTGGCAACAGCTAACATAGCTAAAAGAGCGAATCGGTGTCGCTATGCTAATGATTGTAACAACCACCACCACCACAACAACAACAATAGTAAAAATGAAAATAATCGATTGATAACTGCAAAATACTGTAAGCATTTTTTTAAAGATTTTAAGACATGTTATCCCAAAAAATTAAAAAAGTGAGCATTTGCCATAAAATGTTTTGCAGAAAACATATTTGGTTAATTACTTACTTTTTGAGCTTTGTGAGAATTCTTGTATAACATTTTTCAGAAATATGTCCTTATTTGAACATTTTTCTATGTACTGAAAAGAATATACATTTTGCATACTTTGCTGATTTACAGACAATTAAAACTGCTCACCGCACAAACTTTTTCTTCATGTAGCATTTTTTTATTGTGGCTCAGAAGCTTCAATTCATTATACAGGCGTGTCACATATATCTTAAGAAGATTCTGGAATCCTGGGGATGGTAAGTAACTACAAGCGGTAATGGTGTAATATATGTCAAGGGTAGAGCTGTACCTGCGTAGTAGGGGAATACCGCTAACCTCTCCAGACTGCAGGAAACACAAGGATCTGGTCCTCGTGTTACGGAAAATTCAGTTCTAGCATGTTCCCCCTGTCGCGCGCTGATTTGAAATCATGACATCACCCACTACTTTGTGGTTGGACGGTTTCGCTGTCGTTTTAATGGCTTTCTTAATGTCTTTAATATGCTAAAGTACACTAACCACTATAGTATGCGTGGCGATAAATGTAATATTGTTTATTCTAGTTCTAACTTATTACATTTATAAACTGCTGCTCACAGCGATGTTTTGTACCCATTGAAACATAATCCAGCTCCATTAAAACATTGTGATGCATGTTTTCCCATGCTAACACACAGATACAGAAATTGCAAGACACCAAATTGTTGATACAAATCTATTTACATGCAAACAGGTATCTGGATGACTTTTTCAGCCATTAATCATACGTTTGTGCACAGATATGAAGGAGGAACATTATTTACCTAAGGCTAGAAAATATGGTTCCCCCTGGTAAAACACACAGCAACTCTCAACCTCGATACTGATAATACTAGTTTAGGCACATGTAAATATGTACCTGAATGACTTTAAGCCAACCTGCATGCCTCTTTACTCAAATATGAGAGGGAAACATTATTTCCTGAAATCCAGGATATTTAGTTCCCCCTGCTAAAACAGACATGCAGCAACTCTGGGCCTCAATACTGATACCGTAGCAGATTTGCTGATGCAGTGACAGAAGTACAGTGGATATAAGAAGTGTAAACACCCTTGTTAAAATGCCTGGTTTTTGTAATGTAAAAAAATGAGACCATGATAAATCATTTCATTCCCACCCTTCACTGTGACCTATAACCTGTACAATTCTACTGAAAAGCAAACAAACCTGTTAGGGGGAAAAATGAAAAAATAAACCTACAATAAGCTGGCTGCATAGGTTTGCACACCTATAAACTAATACTTTGTTGAAGCACCTTTTGATTTAATTACAGCATTCGGTCTTTTTGGGTACAAACCTGCCATCAATTAAAGTGACTCTGATTCACCCCAAGTAAAGTTCAGCTGTTGTAGTAGGATTTTCCTGACATTCACTGAGTTGCATCCTACAGCAAAAGTCATGGTTCTCAGTGAGCGTACAAAGCATCAAAGGGATCTCATTGTTGAAATCAGTCAGGAGAAGATATACCATGGAACACCATGAAGACAGTCATCAAGAAGTGGAGAAAGTATGGGACAGCAGTGACGTTACTGAGAACTGGACGTCCCTCCAAAACTGATGACAAGACAAAAAGAAAACCAGTCAGGGAGGCAGCCAAGAGGCCTACAGCAACACTGGAGGAGCTGCAGGGATTTCTGGGAAGTACTGGTTGTGTACAACATGTGACAACATTCTCCCACATTCTCCATATGTCTGGACTATAGGGTACAGTCGAGATGCAAGCCGTTTCTCACAAAGAAAATCATCCAGGCCTGGCTAAATTTTGCAAAAAAAATAAAATAAAATACATCAAATCTCCCAAAAGCCTGTGGGGAAAATGTGTTATGGTCTGATGAAATCAAGGTTGAACTTTTTGGCCACAATTGCTCTGGGTTCTTTCAACTCAATTTAAAACTCATTCAGATCAAAGTTTATTGTGGAGAAGTTCCTAATGTAGTCTATTTATTACAGGTATGCTTTAAATGTAACAAATAGACCAAAAAAAATCACATTCAGACACAGAAACCACCTTAAAAGACTTACCTATAACAAAAGAACAGTTCCAAAAATGTCTCCAACAGCCAACAGTGCTCATCTCATTTCCTGTATTGGGAGCAAATACATACTAAAAATGTAATTCAGTGAATTCCAAAGCAGAATTCTGTAACTAATCTAAAGTCTTAAAATAATAACACTTTCTATCAGCATGATGCTTGAGCTTGCCTCTGAGACACCAGTAGATCCAGTCTAGGTGGGATGGATGAGAGACTCATTCTTACGGTGGCCTCCAATATTGCCATAAGTCTGTTTCTGGCTTTGGTCTTAGTTGTAGTCACAGTGGAGAAGCCAGATTCACATAAAGTTCTTGCGAAAGGCAGAAGAAATTTTACAGCCCTAAGTGTGAGACAAGGGTATTCCTTTGATACAATGATTCAAAAAGAAACAAACTCTACTTTGGTCATTTGCAACTTTAGACTGCTGTCTGCCGGCAGCTCCGTTAGCTGCGTTTCTAACTCTATGGGGAGAGCAATGTCATCAGCATTTGGGTCCACAGAAAAGGGGTCCAACATCCACATATTGACATCTCTGGTTCCTCTGGGGAGTATTCCACAAACTTCTCAGCCAACTGTGACAGGTGGTTGATGACTAAATCTGTTATGCTCACAAAACTGGAAAAAAAAAGTGGAAACATTTACATCCTTTTCTCCTGAACACACTTTGTCCACTGTGACAGTTTTCTCTTGAATCCTTCAATCTTGTCAGAAACAAAGATGCTGCTGTGTTTGCTTTTAATTGAGAGATTTTACTGATTCAGTAGTGAAAAAAATATCAGCTAAAGAGACAAGCTGAGCCAAGAACTTCCTCATTACTGTTTGCCAGTGGGGATTTATTCCTGTTAGAAAACAATGCACAGACGCTCCTCTGCTTAAGAATGAGATACGTTCCGAACAGCCGTTCGTAACTTGAAATGTTCGTAAGTCGTTATTCAACATTATTTTAAGGGTATACGCAAGTACAAAGAACTAGAATGCTGGGAGCCCAAGGAACACAATTTGGACTTACAGTCCTCTTCGTTCGTATGTCTGAAAGTTCGTAAGTTGAAAGTTTGTAAGTAGAGGAGCATCTGCACTTCGTTTCTCAGCTCAAACACGCGACTGAGGACCTGCCTTCTTGATAACCATCCCGCCTCAATGTGATGCAGTAGCTGAACATGTTCTGAATCCATACCCTCTCATAATGCAGAAAGGTACCTGGACTTCATGACACTCTTCTTTATGTAGTTAATTGTTTTCACAGCCACATTCATCACTTCGTGTAATGCTAAGCTTTTGCGTGCAGAAGACAGTGTCTCCATTTCTCATCAGGTGCCCTATTGAGGATTTGCTTAACGACACCTGTGTGTCTCACTGTCATAGATGCAGCACCATCACTGCAAATTCCAACCCAGTTTTTCCACTCCAGCCCATTCTCCTAGATATAATCTAGGCAGCAAAAACGTTCCTATACTGTTGTTCTGGTAGGAAGTTCACAATAAAATAGTATATTTTCAAGAAAACAAGTATCCCAATGGTATCTCATAAAAATTAACAGTAAAAATGCATTGGTAATAGCACTTGACTTGTCCAACTTTAATGGAAAATATGAGCTACCTTTAATTCTTTATATAGGCTGACTATGTATGTCAGAGCCCATTTCAGCAATCCACCTACTTACAGTATGATTTCAAAGCAGTACTTGAGTAGCAACAGGTTCTCTGCTCTCAGCAGTGCGTCTGTCAAAGTAGAAAAGGTGCTCATAATTTGGAGACTAGATAGCTTGAAAGGTTAGAGTTTCTAACAATCGGAAAGCAACGGTTTCGGTAAAATGCCTCCCCTTGGCCTTAGTTTCCGACATCATGGTGAAATTGGACTCCCTCTCCAGCAACCAAGTCTCCATTTTGGTTGTTCACGCTGGAACTAATAAAGTCCGACAATCCGAGGTATTAAAGAGAAGCTTCATTTCTATGTGTGCAAAAGCTAAAACAAAATGCCGGACTCTAATTGTCTCTGGTCCCTTACCAATTCTGTATAGAGGGGATGAGATCTATCGTAGGGTACTTTCCCTAAACCGTTAGTTGGAAATGTGGTGTGCATCTCAAAACATTGCCTTTGTTGATAATTGGGACCTTATTTTGGAATGGCCTGGTTTTTATAAACGGGACGGCCTCCATCCTAATCCAAAAACATGGCAAATATTTTATCTGTCTGACAGAGAGCACCACTCAGGCCTCAGCCTTGCCATCTTAAATCAAAGGCTGTTTGTTCTCCCACCTTTAGCTCATGTCTGGCTGTGACCCAGGTGCTCCATCACGCAGCATCCCCTAAATCTAGCAACTATGTCGAAAGAGTTGTTTGAGCCTGCAAAGAAAATAGTAACTATTATTAGACTAAGACTTCGACCTAAATGTTCCACTGGGGGCTCCTGTGCAGATAACTTAATATCAATCCCTCTAAGATTAAAGGAGCCACAACATAAACCCACCATAAAATGCTCATTACTGAACATTCGCTCTTCAGCAAACAAATAATTTCTTATCAATGACATGGTGCTGGACACTGGTGCAGATCCATAATTTTTTTAACAGAAACCTGGCTCAGACCCACAGACACTATTCCTCTTGTTGAAGCCTCACCGGAAGGCTTTAGTATTGCACTTATTTTAAACTGACTCTTAAAAATT